TTTACATCAGTATTTCCCCCAAGCCTATGTGGATCTCAGAAACTAGATGTCTATGGAATTGTATCAAATGCTTGAGCAAGAAGGGTCCATATGGTCTATCTGTGTGATGTCCTCTTTTCCAGAAGGGGCAGCGAGAACCCAAGTGAGGAGGTGACTCATTGAAGGATGCATAGTGAGTAGGGACAGACTCAGATACCATGCGCTGTCCCGGCAGCCACCCTCAGCCCCTCCTGCTTCCTTCCACTCGGTAGCTCTGAAAATATGCCCTGGGCCAAGCACGAAGCAAGGCGATTTGCTGACTGCAGCCAGGAAAGTGGAACCACCAATTTTTCCTTGAAGATGCATTCTTTCTTAGGCAGGGAATCGATTTCCACCAAGAGACACAGGCTTCCAACAAAGCCACTTATGTCAATCTGGATGGAGCACCGTTAGTTGGCTGCCAGGGGCATTTATCTCGCTGGCCCGGGGCAGCCACAGCCCTTTTCAGAGTAGGGTGTGGTGGTGCTGGAGAGGTGGGCATGGAAGGCCCAGCACCCGGAGGGACCCCGTGGCAGGGGTGTGAGCAGCCCTGCGGGGGTGGGGCAGGGGGAGCGCCCTGAGGGGCCATCCGGTTGAGGCCGCTGCACAGTGCCGTGTGTCTAACCCCAGGCCTGTCCTGCTCTGCTGTGAACTTGCCGCATGACTTGAGTCTTCCTTAGCCCTCATTTGAAGCTCTGTCTCCCCATCTCGAACTGGGAATAAATGGTCTTGAATGTTCCTTCTCACATTCAGAAGCAGGATGTTGAATGACAGCAGGTGTGCAGAGAGCAAAGCGACTTGTATCTGAATCTTAGTTTCACTTTTCTGGGATCCTGGGTGCTGTGGGCTGAACCATGTCCTCCAAAAAAAATGTTGGAGTCCTAAACCCGAGACCTCAGAATGTGACCTTATATAGAGATAGGTTCTCTACAAAGGTCATCAAGTTGAAATGAGGTCATTAAGGTAGGACCTAATCCAGTATGACTGGTGTCCTTATTATTAAAAGGGGAAATTTGGACACAGAGACAGACAGACATAGAGAAAAGACATGTGAAGAGACAGAGGAGGAAGACAGCCATCCACAAGCCAACAAAAGAGGCCTCAGAAAAGGCCAAGCTGGAAACACCTTGGTCTCAGACTTCCGGCCTCCAGCATTGTGAGGCAATCCATTTCTGTTGTTCAAGCCACCAGCCTGTGGTGCTTTGTTACAGTAGCCCTGGCAAACTAACACAAGTGACTCGATCTCTGAGTTTCCTGATTGTCACATGGGGACAGTGACACCCGCTCTGCAGAGTTGTGTTAAGAATCTGATGAGAAGATGCAGACACGGCCCTCAGCGTGGTCCTTGGCATGCAGTGGGTGCTCAATAAGAGCAGTGGTGTGGTCCTGTGCTGCGACCTCCTAGTGCCACGGCGGGGCGCCCACGGCAGGCGGCCGGTACAGAACAGGAAGGCCTCGAGTCAGACTTGTAAAAGAGAACTGGGTCATCCGCGGCACCCCTTCAAAAGCCCTCCAAATATGGAGAAGGCCGGAGAAATCACTGTTTATGCAATGCTTAAAGGTTTTTGGCTAGAGTGGCCTCCGCCCTAATTGACAAGGCCGTGGAGCTGAATTTTTTTTATTTTTATGTCCTGAATACACTTTGAGTGTGTCGAACTGCTCTGGGTAATCAATAAGTGCAGTAGTCATGGCCATTTTATGGGTGTTTGTAGAGGAGGTGGCATGGTTTTGATGGGAAGGACGCTTACTGGGTGACCCTGAGCAAATCCATCATCCTCCTTGGGCCTTCGCTTCCATAGCTGCAGAGTGAGGGAGGGAGACCAACCGAGTCAGGGGTTCTCGAGCTGCGTCTCCGAAGGCCTAGACATTAAGTACTAATTCCTTACGCACTATACATCGCGCATGCATTTTGTGGATAGCATGAAAGCTCTCCATGGCTTTTATCTGGTTCTTGAAGGCACCTCTGATTCCCAAATTGTCCACAATAACTCGCCTGGACAACCTCTCAGGGCTGCTCGTTCCTGACAGGTCTGGGATTCTGGGATTCTGGTTATAAAGTCGTTTCTAAGCCTCAAGCAAGTCCTACAGAAGTGGCTGCTCTGAGTTACTGGGATGAGGGGGATTGGGAACATATAGAAAGAGCTCCCCACAGAGCTTATTGCTGGGGGCTTTGCTGGCCGGGGAGACCCCAACTGCCCAGCACCCTGTGTCTCTGCTTTGGGCCCTCCCTCCAGCTCCGAAGGCCCTCCAGTGTTCGAGTGGCGCCTCCCTGTCCCGCCCTTGCCACTCTCCTGGACACTGCAGCCTAACCCATCTGCCTGCTTCTAGGCTGGCCCCGCCCCCATCATACCTGGAGCAAACCCAAATCCCTTACAATCCCTACATGATCCGCCTCCACCTGCTTTTCTGAAGGCATCTGCACCCATCCCCTCCCTCCCCCGCATGCTTAGCAAGCTGCGGCCTCACTGACCCATGGTCAGCGCCTCATGCTCTGGGCTTAGTCCACACTTTGGCTTTTGCCTTTGCTGGGCCTTCTGCCTGGAACGTTCTTACCACGTCTTCCACCACCTGGCTCCTCCTTCAAGTCTCAACTCAGATGTCAGCTCCTTCAGGAAGTCTCTGACCCCTCCCGCGCCCCCCCCCCCGCCCCCGTTCCCCACAACTAAGATAGATCCTCCCCCTCCTTATCCTCCATCAGTGCGCTTGGTTTATTTCCTTCGCAGCACTAACACAACTTATAATGAAATATTTATGTGTTTTCTTCCCCATGAAGATGTCAACTCGTGAAGGAATGAACTGAGTCTTCTAAGTCACTGTGCCTGGCTCATAGCATTTAATGAAAGCTAGAATGCACCCACTAGCACGGCTAAAATTAAAATGAGTGACAATACCAAGTGCTGGTGAGGGCGTAGAGCAGCTGGAACTCTCACACAGCTGATAGGCTTGTGCAGTCGTCTAACCACTTTGAAGAACAATGTTGTAGTTTTTCTAAAGTCGCACATACACTTACCATAGGACCCAGCAATTCCACGCCCAGCTGTTTACCCAAGAGAAATAGAGACATGGGCCCTACAAAGATTCACACAAATATTGCAGACCTGTTCATAATAGCAAAAAACGAAAAACAAACCAGTCGTTCATTTAAAGCAGGCAAGACTGCTGCGTCGCCATAGTCCCCCTGGGCAAGGAGGAGCAGGAAGTCCCAGAGAGGTGGCTGAGAATCCACTTGAGTGTCCCTGCGGCCACGGCAGTTGAGTGGTGGAGACTTGGGGTCAGGGTGCTGGCGGGGCCCAGAGTGACGTGGTGCTCAGTGTTCGCGGTTGGTGAACACGTGTGGGCTGGAGAAGGACCGGGCAGGGGGAGGGGGAGGGGGAGGGTGGTTGGGGGGTCCCTGGGAACAGAGACAGCCTGAGCACCGGGCTCCCTGGCCTGAAAGTGGGGGGCGGTCCCCTTGAGAGAAGCAGGCCCTGGTGCCACCCCATGCATGCAGGATTCTTGCAAAATGCCAGTTAAGACATTTGACCTAAATTCGGATAAAAGCCTTTTTCCTGTGTCAAGTTGAGCTAATAATATACATTTATTCATAATTTATGAGGCCTAGTAAGTGGGAACAATTAAGGAAAAGGCCTGGCCAACATCTATTTCTCCTAAGTGTCACATAAGCCTATTTTCTGTTCTCTAGGGCAGGTCCGCCCCCTCTGCCTACCATGAAATGCTGTTGTTTTTGTTATTATAAAAAATTTTTGTTAGCATTACTGTGAGCTGCCATTTCTTGAGCCCTGGCTAAGCAAGGCTGTACCATTGCCTTGTTTCCTCTTCATCGTGTGAGGCAGGTAGGGGCTTCCCATTTCACAGACAAGGCAGTTGAGTTTCAGAGAGGCGAAGGGACACGCCCAAGCTTTTACAGCCGACGAGCAGGGATTACGGTTCAGGTCCGCCAGATCCCAGGGCCTGCGGGATTCCTGTCAGCCTCCCAACTCAGCTGTCTCTGAAGGGGCGGCGCAGCCCTTCGATTGGGAACTGTTAAACTTGGGAGTCAGGAGGAACATGTGATCGCCTCCTGCCTCGGGGAGTCTGCAGGAGGCCTGAGAAACGGCACTGTTCCTCGCACATTGGTCCCCGGAGCAGCTGACACTGCCCGTTTGGGCCCGTGCTTTAGAAGCTCTGGTCAGTCAATGATGTGACCAGAGTCCTCACCTGCCACTCTCAGGCAGGCTCATGGCCTTCTAGACCTTTTCCCGAGCATTGCCTATGCGTTATGGTACATAGAGAAATGTGTGGCCTCGTTTCTCCCTTTACGCATGTCGGGTAATATTCTACCTACTGATCATCTGCAGTTCAGTCTTTTATTTAATGTGTCTTAGAGGGCACATACACCTGCCTCATTCTCTTCAACAGCACTGTAATATTCCATGATCCGGGTGATATTAGCCTTATTTACCAACGGTCTGGTGGTGGGTGGTCTTCCACATTTTAGACTTTACAGGTATTCCTGTAAAATCCCTGGGGACATGGGTGAGTGTCCACAACATAGTAATCACTTGATAACCTTAGCCATTATTATTATTGCTGTTCTTGTTGGTCCATTATCAGTATCGAGGGACTGTTCAAATCCCTTTCTGCTGGCGGCAGGTGGGGAAAGGGGGAAGTCTCTGTTTACAGGTTCTGAGAAAGTTTTCAACAAAACATTTCTGTAAGAAAAATAGATCCTACATGGGCAGGGCCTGATATGCAGGAGTGCAAAGGAGGAGGGGAGAGAGCAGCCGGCAGGACCCTCCTGCCTGGGCCTGGCTTAGCTCCTGGTAGATTCAACAGTTGCAAGAGAGTGGGCCAGAACTTTACATTTCTTGGTCGCTTAGCAAAATTGGGCCTTGGCCAAGGGCAGCCAAAGGTCCGAGCTGGCAGCATCCTGAGTAAGAGGGTCCCTGCCTGGGTCTAGCCAAGCTCAGCTCTGACCAGCCATCTCCCTTTTGTCTCCTCAGGGTGCGGGGTCCGGGGAGGAGCAGCTCTGCGCGGACTTTCCAGAGCTTGACCTCTCCCAGCTGGACGCCAGCGACTTCGACTCTGCCACCTGCTTCGAGGAGCTACAGTGGTGCCCCGAGGGCTCCGATACCGAGCCCAGCCAGTACAGCCCCGACGACTCGGAGCTCTTCCAGGTATGTCCTTCCCAAGCCGCGCCCTCTGCCTCCTGCCTGGCCATGTCCCTCTCCGTCCCAAAGGCCTGGCTCCGCCTTGCACCACCTTCTTCTGCACTTGCTTGGCAAAGACCACCGCAGTTCTTGGGGCCCTGTCTCTTGTCGTGAATCTGCGCTTGGTCTTGGGCAGCTCCCCTCCCTTGCCAGGCCTCTGGAAAGTGAGGGCAGGGAAGGGCTGCTCTCTCTTACGTCCCCCAAGCAGGACCCGGCCCCTCTGTGCCCCGTCACAGGGTCAGACGGGTTCCAGGTCCTCCCTTCCCTTTAGTATCCCACTCAACTGTTATCTCCATCCTGTGAGGCAACTGCCATCATTTCCCCCGTTTGCAGATGAGGGGACTGAGGCTTGGAGAGGGGAAGTCATGTGCAAAGGCCATTTACCTGTTTGAATCAGATTCAAATGCAGTTTGCCTCCCTCTGGAGCCAGGGCTTTATAGCCTCAATGACGCCATAATGAGAATGCCTCCCATTTACTGAACAACTGCTCTGTGGCAGGACTGTCCCTGTTTGTGAATATTAACTCAGTTAATTCTCCTTACAACTCTCAGACACAAGTACAGTTAGAGGGTCTTTAAAAGAGGCAGTGCTGAAAACCGCTGTGTATACAAATGCCTCTGAGCCCGCGTGCCCCCAGGCCCAGCCTCAGGGGCACATAATGGGTGACGTTTCCTTTAAGAAGCCCTCTGACATGGAATAACATGATGTCTGAGGTTGGCTTCAGAATAAAGCAAGCTCTGCATGCATTCATGTGTGTGTGGGTGGGTGTCTTGATGGCCTGGAGGGCAATAGATGAAAGAAGATTGGCTATGCTATGGAAGCTGGGTGGGGGATACATTCAAATTCATTATTCCTACCTTGAAATATGCTCCCCCGTGAAGACTGGGGGAGGAAGACCTAGCTCCCTGCACCTGTTTGGCAATATAGTAGCAACACCGACACACAGTGTCACGTGCCATGCTGGTGTGCCATGAGCGTCGTCCCAGATAGTCCTGAGGATTACATTGTTGCTTCTAGAAATGCTTACAGAGCTCACTGTGGGTCAGGCACTGCGTTCATCAGTAGATGACACAGTCTAGAGAGGAGACCGACCCGCGGTCAGCGAACACAAAGACAGACAGCGGCCCCTGTGACGGGGCACAGAAAGAACTACCCCTGGCGTGAGAGGGGCTTCTAGGGATTGGGTGGTCAGGAAAGGCCTCTTTGGGGAGGAGGTGCTCCAGCTGAAGGGTGAGGAGGAGCCTCGTGACGACCAGAGAGCAGGGACGGTGCTTTCCAGGCAGAGCAGCAGGGAGCGCAGAGCCTGGAAGCAGAAACGCGGGCTGTGTCGGGGGACAGAAGGGCTGGAGGGTAGAAGCTAAAGGGAAAATGCCAGGAGGTAAAGTCAGAGAGGTAGACAGGGGCCAGATCAGGCAGGGTCTTGTGGGCTGTGATAAGGAGTTTGATTTTCCCCCCCAAGGCTATTCTAATCTATAAGTAAAGGACTTAATAACCCACTTTGCAAGCTCAGAGAGGTTAAGTAACTTGCCCAAAGTCCCACAGCTAGGAAGGGCCAGGGTGAAGACTAACCCAGGCACCCACACCCTCACAGCTGCACAGCCTCTCTGCCAGCCCTGTGAGGATCAGCAGGACCGGGCCCTCGGTCTGGCTCCATCTGGTGACCTGCATTTTTTATGTGGCCAGCGGGAATGGGACCCGCGCGAGCTCTGCTGCCCCGTCCCTCAGAGGGGACTGGCTTCCAGAGAACGCTCTTAGGCTGTGGAGACTGATGGGTGAGAGGGGTTTAGACGCGGCATGGAGACCATCCCCACCTAGGCTGTGCAGGCCCCTAACTACTCAGAGGCTGGCCAGTCCCACTAACAAGGTCCTGACAAGGTCCTACTAAGTTCATGATGATGCAAGGCAGCCTAGTGTGGCCCCTGGTGTGGGCTCCCAGCCCAGCAAGGAACGCAGAGTCCTCCAGACAATGGGGACTGTGCAGAACTGGGCCCACCCAGCCTCTGTCCCTTTGGTGGCCTGCGCTCCCCACCTGCTCTCTCAAGATAAGGCCAGCTCCGCCCATCATACTCTCCGCACCTCTGTGCCTGTGATCATGTGACCAGTGCCTGATTCCTCCCCTGCTCCGTCGTGAATCCCATCCACCCCACCCCTCCCCTACCCCCAGAGCATGGGGTCTACGCCTGTGATGCATTGTGCATTTTTATTGTCCCAGGGCTCTGCACAGAGCCTGACACTTCTTAGCGCTTAATACACATTTAGCACATGACTACCTCCTTTAATGCCCAGCTCTCCTGTTGGCTCCTTCTAAGGCAGTTGGTCAGTTACTTCCTCTCCTGGGTTCCCATTTTATGTGTGTGCCATGCATGCATGCATGCATACATGCACGTGTATGTGTCTCTATGTGTCCTTTAGACTTTGAGCTCCTCAAAACAAACAGTGTTGTATTCACTGGGGCCCTCACCCGCTGTCAGGACTCAATCATATGTGTTGAATGAAGGCACTGATTGTAACATTTTCTTTCCTGCCAAGTACCAGACATGACCCATTCCTCAACCTTGAGCTGGGACTCAGGGGCCACAGGCTCTGTCCTCCTTCTGCCGCTAGCTGGGACAGCCTCCTTGTCTGACCGGTGGGACTCAAGAGCCGCGCTGCCTTGTGTCAGAGCTGTGTTCTCACAGTCAAATGACACCATTGCTATGGAAACAGTCTGGGAGAGTGAAGAACAAGCCACTGTGACAGGCTCGACAGCTCCTCAGGGGCAGGGACAGTGCCGTCCAGCTCTCTGTGTGCCCAGAGTCCTAGGGTCAAGGCCACAACAGCCACTTCATAAGTATTTCCGGAGGAAGCAGGCCTTTGGTTGTTCTGTCACACTGTGCTATATGGCCTTAGGCAAGTAGCTTCCTTTGGCTGGGCCTCAGTTTCCCCACAGGAGGAAGGAGGAAGGAACATGGATTCAGTCAGTGGTTCTTACTTTGTTGAGGGAGTCACGGGGTCCTTTTATACTCTGGTGAAATCTATGGACCAACTCCTAGTGGAAAAGGGGGGGACTGATTTCCTGGACATCCTGGACCCCAGTTGAGCCCCCTGAACCTCAGTAAAGCCTCCTGGACAGGAGAGGATTTCTGAGTGTCCCTGTGGCCCTAATAGCCTAACTTCTGCTCCGTGGTATCCCTTTGAGCCACTCTGGGCCCAAAATGAAGCATTTTCCCTGAGATTTCATAAAGACTCCTTTTCCTCTAGCTTGAGATCAGCTCAGGAAGGTGGGGGGTGGGGCCGCGTCTATTAATAACCCTTCCTCAGCTGATTAACTCTCCATTAATTTACACTCTGTTTCCAAGCAGAGCTGGGAGAGGCGAGCTAATGGGCCCAGAAAGAGAAGGGTGGCCCCGCTCCGTGGCATGTATTATCCCAGGGTGCCGACAGGACGATGCTGTGGGCTGGAATGGCCCTGCTTCCCGGGCCGGGCCAGAGCCTCCAACCCCCGCTGGGGCAGGTCGTGCAAGGCTGAGGAGACGGTGGAGGCCTTTTGTTAGTCATTTTGTTTATACTGACCTGTGGGGGGCGTCTTCAGGGTTCTGCATTCTGTATTCATTTTTGTACAGTGCCTGGCACACAGTAAGCCCATGACCCCCCTCTGACTTGCTGTCTTGTATGACCTTGACGAGTCTCCTTCCTGGACTTGCATTTCCCCCATCCTAAAAAGAATGGCCCATAAGTGTCATGAGCGCCACCTGCATTGGATTGGCAGTGGTCGCCTGGAAGACAGTTCAAGAAAGATGCTGGCGTGGAAGGAACAGCCACATCTGTTTAGCAGTAAGGGGAGTGGCAGGTCACATGTCTAACATCTTGGGTCACTGTGTGATCCCTGAGGGACCCAGCTGATAGTTGCGATCCTGCATAATATCTTTGGGCCGTTGGCTACCCCTGTGAAAGAGGGAATTCTCATTCCCTCCAGTGCTTGGTGACATCATTTCTGAATAATGTCCCTCGAAGAATCTATTCTTTGAAACCCTAATCTCAGTCTCTCCTCAGGCCAGAATTTGCAGTTTGGTTCATTCATTCTTCCATTCAAAAAATTCTGCCTGGGTGCTTCGCATGCTCCAGGCACTGAGCGGGGCATGGAAGCACTTCCGTCATTACTGCCAGACTTGCCTTCCTAGTACGCCCGGGAGGGAGGCTGGCCAGGGCTCACGGGCTCCCATTTCACAGACACAGCAGAGTGGCTTAGAAGAAGGGCAAGACTTGTCAAAGATCACCCTATGGTGGCAGAGCCCCACATGGTCAGCCCCGAAAGTGGTCATTGAGCCCCAGGTTCTAAGACCTTAACTCCCCACCAAGCTAGACAGGTTGCTGTGGGAGCACTGGGGGCTCTGGTCTTTGGCTGGGGGTCGGGGGCAGTTAAGCGAGCTCCACTAGCCCCTTGTGCCATAGCCCATGGGCCCAGATCTACCCTTGGCCAGCCACCCCGCGCCCCTCCCCCTCCATCCCTCCGCCATCCCCAGGGCCTGGGTCAGGCCCAACCAAAACCTTCTTTTGACCTTTCTTTTATTCTTAGCTGTGTTCCAAAAATTACAAATGCGTTTGTTCTCTTCTCCCCACGGCCCCCCTCCAAATTACTCAGCCGCTGCTCCGGCTGTGAGGCCTGGAACAGATTTAGTGCAGCCAAAGGCCGTCACGAGATGTGTATTTCAGATGAACTTCCTGAAGGAACGATAAACAGCCTGACCTGGGATGGGAAAGAGTGCTGGGGGAGGCATCATGTGACAGAATGTGCTTCCCACCAGAGCAGGCCCAGCCGCCAGGGCTGACTAAGGGAGGTGCTCACTACCTCCCCTAGAAGCAGTGAGATCTCCGCACGGCCGGGCCCCTGGGGGTGGGTGCCTGGGTGGGCCGGAGTGTGCTCGCCGACCCGCCTGGTTGTAGACCTTAGACATCAGCGAAGGAAGGGTCTTGGGTCATCTGTGCTCAGCGTAAGCCCTGCCTCTGTCCTGCATTTGCTGTGTGGCTCTGGGCACCTCACTCAACCCCTCCAAGACTCGGTTTCTCAACTGTAAGATGGAGATTAGAAGGGTACCCCCCTTATAGTTTGTTGTGAGGCAGTCTTTACAAAGCCCTTCTGTTCCTCTTATCAGCCAAATTTTGTCCCAGGACTTTGTGCTCACTTTCCCCTCTGCCCGGAATCTTCTTTCCTCCACCCTTTGCCTGACTGGTGCCTTCTCATCTTTCAGGCTATGAGTTTTAAGTTTCAGCTGCTCGGAGCAGCCTTCTTTGACCCCCAAAATAGCCTGTAAACCTTCACTGTGTTCTTATTCCTCATCACAGCTTCCTTTTATTTTCTTCCCAGCCTTTATCGTTCTTTGAAATGGTCTTCTTTTCTTGTGTAACTCTTTTCTCTCCTGGAGTATAAGCTGCATGAGGGCAGGGGCTGTACCCACCTTGGCATGTTGTATCACCAGTGCCCAGACAGCGCCAGGTGCAGGGTAGCCATTCAGGATATATGTGTTAGGGGGAGGGAGGGAGACAGGGAGGGAGGAAAGAGATGGGGGAGGAATTGTCACTGCCACCGCCACCATCTCCATCGTCACCATCACCATCGCCATTGCCATCACTACCACCATATCGTCATCAACATCATCATTATCATCACGACCATCATCACAGGAATTATCATGGCCGTCGTAGTAGAAGTAATAGTAGTAGAAATAGTAATGGGTACTTATTATGTGCCAGGCACTATTTTCTTAGAGCCTTATATACATTAACTTCTTTAGTTCTCATCAGTAACCTTATGAAGTAGGTATTGTTATTATCCCATTTCATAGGTGAAAAAACTAAGTAACTTGCCTTAGGACCCATCGATGAAAAGTATGGGTCCTGGGGTCCCGCCTCAGCTCCCGAGCCCAGATTCCTAACCACCAGCCTCACTACCTCTTCGTGAGTGAATGAGGCAAGCAAGCCTGGGAACCCGCGGGGAAGTGGCAGCTGTGGTTGTCATTGTCATGGTTGAACCCTGAAGCTTCCAGCCTTTCCCCTGCCTGCCTGGCCCCGAGGATCAGAGGCTGGGGCCCGCAATGGGATGCTGCTACCAGGGGCACAAACCAGCCTCAGGACCGTGTCCAGGGGTTGGACCCAGGAGGCTGCAGTGTGGCCCTCCTGTCATTGGCGGAGGGACCGTTGCTTCTCATGCTGATGAGCGGCAGACAGGGACTCCCAAAGCAAGACTGTTTTCAGTATTACCTGCTGCCTGAGCGTAAACTTCTGAGATTCATGGGGTCGATAACACATTTCCTGGGGGCTCCTACTGCATTGCCCCTGGGAGCCTCTGACGGGGGAAGCGCCCAAGAGGGGCAGGCGGGAGGGTGGCGATGGCGCAGCTGCATGCGCGCAGCAGCGTTCCGTCATGAAGATGGCTGAGCCCAAGCCACTGACTAACCGCCTTCCCTCTCTGCTCCGCCTGTGCTCCCTGCTTCAGATAATCGATGGTGAGAATGAGGCCCTCCTGGCGGCGCTCTCCAAGACCCTGGATGACATCCCCGAAGACGATGTGGGTCTGGCTGCCTTCCCAGCCCTGGACGGTGGCGACGCACCTTCCTGCACTTCAGTTTCACCTGTCCCCTCATCTGCGCCCCCCAGCCCCTCCCTGGAGAGCCCCCCAGCCCCTGCCCCTGAGGTGGACGAGCTCTCACTGGTGAGAACCTAGTTCCAGTTGAAGTGATGGTAGTGGCCTGGGATGTGGTGCCTGGTTGTAGAGCTGGTGGGTGTAGGGAAACCAGCTCCAGCCCCCTGCAGAGGTCTCCGAGCATCAGTGGCAACGGGGTTCTCAGCAGACAGCCTTGGCGGGGCGTGGGGGCCTTCCTGGCCGTGCAGCTGGACTAGCCACAGGGTCTCACAGCGTGCATTCTGTAGGCCCTTGGGGATTTCATGGATTGACCTTAATTGTGTCGCAAAACCTTGAAATTCCATGCAAACATTTTCCTAAAGATGACACATAAACACACAGCAAAAATTCAAGCAGGAAATGTGGACAGTTAGAAGCAAAACTTTCTTACCCATCTCACAATTGCTTTGTCCTTCCCCAGAGGTTACCATGGTTACTGATCTGTTATATGACTCTTGTCTTCTACCTTTTTTTTTTTTTAATACTCCAAAAAGGAGTATATTGTATACTGCTCTGCACCTTGCTTTTCTCAGCAAACTGGTGTTGTCTTCTTGGAAATAATTTCAGATGAGCACAGGTAGCTCCGTTTCACCTTTTTTCTCAGCTGCTTAGTGTTCCTTTGTAAGGAGGTACCATCGCTTATTTAACCAGTCCCCTTGTTGATGGATATTTATGTGTTTCAGCTCCTTTATTGACACAGCACTGTAGTCGCTGTCCTGGTACAGTGGCCTCTGTCACATGTAAGTGGGTAAATTTCCTAGAAATGGAATTCTTAGGTATGCAGACACATGATTTTTTTTTTTCCAGTTTAGACAGATCCTTTCAGATTGCCCTCCAAAGAGGTTGGCCTGGTTTGTACTTCCATCAGCAAAAGTTAGATGCTACCTGTGTGAGCGTATGTGGACTGTGGGGATGTGCACATGGGATCGCCGCTTTCTGGGGAGAAGGTCTCAGTTTTTACCAGATTCTCAAAGGGGTCTAGAGCTCAAGAGTTGCTCAGAGCAGTTGCCCTCGACTCAGGCCGAGGGTACAAAAGCTGAGATGTCATGGGGTATAAAGTCCAGCTCCATTCTCCTATCTTGGGCTCCTCACCTTGGTGCTAAGGCTGCTGGGGGCTGGTGAGACTCAGCAAATCAGAGCCTCTTGGAGCTGAGGAGGGGTCTTGGGTCATGGAGAGTTTTGAGCTGAAAAGGCCCTTGATGACCATCAAGCCCAGCGATGGGGAAGTAGAGACCCAGAGTGGGGGGGTCTCTTCTCTGGTCACACAGTAAGCTGGTGTGCCTGTGAGCACTAGAACCCAGGTATTCTGCCTTAGGTCCAGAACACCTTTCCTTCTTTCCTGCTTCCTTTGTTTCCCAAAGGAACTGTGAACCATTTAGTAAGCACTTTATATGTGCTGGACACATGAGAATGTTCAGTTCCACATGGTGGTTCCCACTGATAGGGGTCCTGCTTCCTTTCAGACTGGAAACCAGACCTCCTGGGTTCAAATCCCCGACCCGCCAATTAATGCTTGTGAGTCCCTAACTTCTCTGACTCAGCTTTCTGGTCTATCAGGTGGGGTCAAAAATAGGACTTATCACAAAGTATTCCTCTGAGGAGGAATGCAGTAGGTAATACATGTAAAGCACTCAGTACAGTGCCTGGCACATAGACTTTGCTCAGTAAATGCTCTCCAGGTCGTAGTGCTGGCATGACAGTAGGAGTAACAAGCAATTCTCAGTGCCATTTCACTGCGGGGCTCTGGAGAGGGACCAAGCCTCCGAGAGACAGAGAGCGACCCCTGCTGGTCACAGGCTGTTCCCTCTCGTGCCTTAGACTGTCTTCATTCCAGATGTTTTTGAGCACCTCTGTTTCAGGCACTGTGCTAGGCAGACAGGAAACATACCCTGTAGACTCCCAGAATACTGGCAGGGTTAGAAAGGCCCCAAGATGGTGTCCCCATGCTCGGTGCTTAGCCCAGAGTCATGGATCCCCGCAGGTCCACCTTTGGACTGACAGGGACCCGTGGGCCTCTTACACGTTGGTGCATTTTTCTGAGGTCAGCAGCTCCTAGCATATTCTTAGCACAACTCTTGAGTCAGAAAAAGTTCAGCTCTATTCATTTAATCTACCTGCCCCTGGGATACCGTTGGAGAAACCAGGGCCCAGAGAGGGAAAGGACTTGCCCAAGGTCTCGTGGTGAGTGGGGGCTGAGCTGGGCCAGAACCAGGTCTCTCCAGTCCACAGAACCTCATTCCTGTCTGTGTCAGGGGATCACAGACGTGTGTGTGTTGGCTTGGGGCTCAGGAGGGGTGGTGGGTCCCTCCAGCTCCTAGGGAAGTGTGGAATGGCCTTTTCCCGGCCTCCTGGGCCTTGGGCACCCCTGGCTGGGGTGACCTGTGGGGCCTGACTTGCTCTCACCCTTGGCTGTGAGAAGACCCCTGGCAGGACTCCAGCCGCCCTCACCCCTGCCTCTCGGCTGGGATACATTGCGCACCTGCCCTCGGGGCACAGGAGTGTAAGTGTCTTAGCAAAGTTATTGAACAATTAGAAAAGCCAGACAAGCTCAAGTGTTCTGTGCCTCTACTTGTATAGAAACAGCTGGGTGGCCGGAAGTGTCGTGCACATAATGTATTAAGTGCAGAGAGCCGATGTCTAACCACCCCAAACACACACGGACATCCCAGTAGGCTGTAAGTCCTTTTCAAAACTAGCTACCTAAGAAGAATATCTCTGACTTTGAGAAATGCCAACAGATCTTGGGCAATGTCTGCCCATTCTGCTCAAATGTGACATATATACTTTATGGGGACCCGCTGCCTCCGCCTGAGGTGCACACACAGGTACACACAGGCCGGGAGGTTGGCTACCACGAGGATTCTTCGGTGAGAGGTTCCGGCTGATTTCCCCTTTTGTTCTTTCTGCTTATTCATATTGCTTTTTCAAAAACGAATTTCTTTAAAAAGTAATACTTAAAATGGTGCAAAACTATACAGAGGTGGCCAAAAGTAGGTTCACACTTGTTCATATGGAAAAAGACATACAGCTGATGAGGAGCACAATCGCTTGATTAACTCTGATGTCATCGCCGCTGGAAAGCGACTTCTGCCCACTCTGTGCTCTTGTGTGATTGAATCCCGCCCCCTCATAGGGGCGCACGAAAATGGTTCAGAGTAGTTGCCTCTGGGAGGGAGAAAGGGGACCTTGGGCAGGAGGGAGATGTGCTTATATTGCTTACTTGTTAGTATTTGTGTTATTCAGGGTGGGGCTTAAGTAGGTTTATGGCTGTGAGTATGTGAAACACAGAGTTTAAATTCTTGTATTATCATTTATTAATGAGGGTATTATTTTTCCATATGAACAAGTGTAAACCTACTTTTGCCCCACCTTGTATATTGGGAACATATTCTAGGCCATTGACTGCCCGCCCTGTGTCCTTCCCATGGTCCTGGGATGAGCTGGGTCAGGGCGTGGTCGGTCCCAAGGGTCTGGCTGGGTTTTGGGCCTCTCGCCCTCCCCATGCCCTGACTGCAGCTCAGCCCCAGTGCCCCCCCCCACCCCCCTGCTTCTCCGCAGCTGCAGAAGCTCCTGCTCGCCACTTCCTACCCAGCATCAAGCTCTGAAGCCCAGAAGGAGGGGACATCCTGGCGCCGGGCAGGCCTCAGGTCCAAAAGCCAGCGGCCATGTGTCAAGGTATTTCTGCGCATGCCCTAAGACCCACCGGGGCCCCAGGTGGCCTCGGGTGGGAGGGGTGCCACCTTCAGCTCTTGTTAGGGGTTTCAAGTTCAGGCAACTTTGAGCTTCCTTCCTCGCTCCTCATACAGTCCTTCTAGCTGGTGTGCTGGGCGCTTCTCGAGACCTGGGCAGTATGGGGTTCTAGAAAGAACTCCAGACATACTCATCATACACATCCATGTTCCAGGCACGGTGTTAGACACTGGGTTAGAGCAGGGACAAGGAAGATGTGGCCTATCCTTGGGGGACTTATTCTAATGGGGTGACAGCCTGAAATGTAAGATCCCGTGGTTGCAGAGACCACAGTAAGGAGGTGGGATTTCTTTCAGGGGAGCCATTGGAGAGTTGAAAGCTCTATTGTGAACACCCAGGAACGAAGCCAGCCCTGTTTCCTCCTTGGGCTCTGTCTTCCGAGACTTCCAAGGAGAGGTTTCGGGGCGACTTCCCAGCCTGCCTGCACGTAGCCCTTCCCCTCTTGCCCTCCAGCGACTGGCCGGCCACCCCCACCCTCACTGCAGAGTCTCGTGGCATCTCTCTGAGACCGTAGCTCTGTGTCGGAACCTGTCACCTGCTGGGGCTGTCCCTGTGCCCCCTCCCTGGCTGGCCTCCCAAAACCAAGGTCTGCGCCTTGTGTTCTGTTCTGTTGAGGGAGCAGCCGCTAAGCTCCTTGGTGAGCCAGCTCTTTGCTCTCTGGGAGGCTAGGAAGTGCCCCGGGATGTGAGGCACACCTGACAGCCATCCTGGCCCAGCGAAGACACAGGTGCGCTGGAGGAAGGCCCCTGTATGGACGAGCTGGGGCAGAGAAGGCTGGCGAGAGCCGTGGCCTGGGGCCAGGTTGCAGAGGGCCCCACTACCTGGCCAAGGGGCCTTCACTTTATCCAGTGAGCACAGGGAAGCTATTGAATTTTTCTTCTTCTTTTTTTTAACAGCTTTATGGAGGTGCCACTTACATATGAAAGGCACCTGTTTTAGAAGCACAATTCAGTGATTTTGAGGAAATTTACAGTCATACTGCCACAGCCCAGTTTTAGAACATCCCCGCCATCCCAGGAAGATCCTCAGCGCCCCCATTTACCGTTAACCCCGTCCCCACGTCTGCCCCCAGCAACCACTAATGGACTCCCTGGCGCCCTCACTGAAGGCTGTAGTGCAAGCGTGTGGCGTGGTCAGAGCAGGGCGCAATCCACGTAAGGAGGCTGGTCATTCCTTTGTTTGTCATCGCTTGAGCACAGCCAGGAGCCAGGCTCTATGCTGGCAGCTGGGGGAAAAATGGGTAAACCCTGACAATTTTTGATGATCCTTGCTGAGCCCAGCTGGTAACTACAGGGGTGGCGCAGAGGGAAGGAACGGAGAACGGAGGCCTCCCGCCTCACTCTGGTCTCTTTCCCTCTCTAGATGGACAGCATCCAAGAGAAGAAGGCCCCCACGATGCAGTCTCAGAGCCGGAGCTGTACAGAACTGCATAAGCACCTCACCTCGGTGCCGTCCTGCCTCCAGGCTAAAGCCCGCTCCCCAGAGAGGGGCCTGCAGCCACCAGCCCCCCTGAGTCCTCGGCTCCCTGCCAAGGAGGATGAGGAGCCGTGCAAGGACTGCCCGAGCCCCCAGCCAGCTCCAGCCTCTCCCCGGGAGTCCCCAGCACCAGGTGGGGCAGGCCCCAGCGCCCAGGTTTCCACGGAGGACATGCAGGCGATGGTGCAGCTCATTCGCTACATGCACACCTACTGCCTCCCTCAGCGGAAGCGGCCCCTACAGGCCCCAGAGCCAGCCCCTCAGCCCTGCAGCAACCCCTCCAAGCAGGTCAGACCCTGGGCCCGGTCCCAGCACCCGTCCAAAGCCGCCTGGGCCGAGTTTTCCATCCTGAGGGAACTTCTGGCTCAAGATGTCCTCTGTGATGTCAGCAAACCCTACCGCCTGGCCACGCCTGTCTACGCCTCCCTCAGGCCCCAGCACAGGCCCAAGGACAGCCCGGCCTCCCCTGGCCGCCCGGCCTCCGTGGAGGAGGTGAGGGTCGCGGCTTCGCCCAAGAGCATCGGGCCCAGTCCCAGCCTGCGCCCTCTGCGGCTGGAGGTGAAAGGTCGTGTCAGCCGGTTGGCCAGGCAGAAGCAGGAGGAAGAAGAGGAGGATGAGGAGGAGGAAGAAGAAAAAGAAGAGGAGGAGGAAGAAGAGTGGAGCTGGAAAAGGCCGGGCAGAGGCTTGCCGTGGACCAAGCTGGGAAGGAAGCCGGAGAGCTCGGTGTGCCCCGTGCGGCGTTCCAGGAGACTGAACCCGGAGCTGGGCCCCTGGCTGACCTTCACCGATGAGTCGCTGGTCCCCTCGGAGCCGCAAGGAGCTCTGTCCTCACTGCATCTGGCTCCGGAGGCCTATGACACAGGGGGGGAGCTGGGCAGTCCCACAGATGAGGACAGTGGCCAAGACCAGCAGCAACCCCAGGGACCCCAGACCCCGGCTCTGGAGAGCCCCTGTGAGAGTGGGTGTGGGGACGCGGATGAGGACCCCAGCTGCCCGCAGCTCCCTACCAGAGGTAGTCGGAGTTCGTCTTCAGGAGAGGGGGTGGGGTGGGATGTGGTGCGCCCCCCTGTGCCGGGAGCCGGGAGCCCTGCATTGGGCAAATCCCTTCTCTCTGGCTCTCAACTTTCCTTTCTGTACAATGGGCTAGTTTGGGCAGAGCTTCAGGAGTCACCTGTACACCTCTTGAGTTTCTCATCATGCGTGGGCCGGGTGCCACTTAATGAACAAGGAGTGAGATGCACGCCTTGATGGGGCTTCTGTTTCGGTGGGGAACACAGGCGATCAAAATGTAAGCAAAAAAGGAAGATAATTACATATTGTGATAAGTGCTCTAAAGACTTCGTGGGTGATGGTGTGACAGAAGGTGTGTCTCTAAACTCATCTCCCCAGTGAAGGTGAATTATAAATGTTAACAATAGTCGTGATAATAGTAACAGTTATCTGTTGTGTACTTCCTGTGCCAGGCACTGGTCTAACACAGATTGTCCCCACTGACTCCTCACAGGAAGCCTGTGTGGTAGGTTCTGTTATAATCTCCATTTTAAGACACAGAAACGGAGGCACAGAGATAGCTAGTGATCCCTGATCCCTGCATCCTCGGTGGTAGAGCCCATGGCCACTGGCCTTGGGCACTGGACTATTCCCCACGGTGCTACACTGTATGGCCAGGAGGGGTCGCCGTTGCACCCATCTGCAAAATGGCGTAGACCTGCCAGCAGTTAATGTTGCTGAGACCCTGGGAATGGAAGTGGCTTTGGGTTGTTCCTGCACTTCCCTAAAAATGGCAGAGGCTTCTGGGTCACGTGCCTAAAGGGAGCTGTGCTTGGTGCCAATGGAAGTTGGGGTCTCCTCCTGAGGGGAACATTTGTTCATGGTGCCATGTTGAAGAGTCTTAATTTTTTTTCTTTTTTTCCCTTCTTTTCAGACTCTCCCAGGTGCCTCATGCTGACCTTGTCACAAAGGTAGATTTTGGAAATGATTGGTTTATTATTCCATGGGACTCTGTCCTGTTGGGGGTGCTGGGCGGTTCATCAGCCCTGAGCCTGGCCCTGTCTCCACCCCTGTGCCTCTTTGCCTGGAGGGTCCTCAGGAGCTAGGCTCCCCTAGAAGGGAATTTGTTCTTCGAAGCTAGTCTCTGCAGGCCCAGGGAAGATGGGGAATCAAGGCCGCAGCCATTTTATAAGCTGTCCCCTTCCGGACCAGGGAAGGAGTTCTTTGCTCGATGGGGAAAAGCTGGAAATGCTGTGTGGCTTTGGGCAGGTCTGTCTCCCTCTCTGTTCCTCAGGTGCTCAATCTGTAAAGTAAGGAGGCCGACCATCCTTGTCCTCTCTCCACTCTCCAGCAGATCTCTCTTGCAGCTTCGAATTCCTCTAAAAGCCAGGATGGGAGGGGTCCCTAGCAAATTCTCCCCAGGCCTCACTTCCATAGGCAGCAGAACCAGGGTCTGTCAGGGTGTCCCCTCGCCCTCCTCGCATGCTCGGGGACGTGGGGCCTGCTGCTGACTGGCCTCTTTCCTTTCTGTCCTCCCCGCCCCCACCAGTGACCCTCCTTTTGGCAAGAAGAGCTTTGAGCAGACCTTGACGGTGGAACTCTGTGGCACAGCAGGTGAGCCAGGGGCTCAGCTGTGGGGTGCCCTTGGGGGAGCTGGCACAATGCCCAGCAGCGAGCCCCCCACATTGAGCAGCCCCTTGGGCAGTGAGGGGTGCCCCATTGAGCCCTCCCTGCGCTGCGGCACAGACTGTGCGAGGTCTTGAGCTACACACCCAGGGCATTCATTATAAGGAGGGGAGTCGGGTCGGCTCAGCCATTGAGCTGCCAACCAGCCTGCAAGCTGATGTCAGGTCAGAAAAGACAGAGTCATGCACGTCTTCCCCCAAAGGAGTCTGCAGTCTTATGTGGGAGAGAGGCTCACCCTGTGAAGGTGCTGTTTCGTTCCCACTAGTTCCAAAGTATGCGCAAGAGCTCTGGGAGTGCCGAGGTGGGGGTGCCGGGGAGGCAGGAGTGGGGCCTGGGCAGATTTGCAGGGCGCCCGGAGCAGGGAGCATTTGAGCTGGGCTTGCAGGATGAGTGGGAGTTGGAGAGACAAAGGAGGGGAAGGGTATTCCTGGCAGCAGAATGAGCACGAGCAAAGGCACAGAGGAGTGACAGTACAGATGCACCTCAGGAGACGGGTCACCTGGCGTTGTGACATGGCCAGACTGGGGGGTCAGGAAAGAGCACCCACAAAGGCTGAGAGGAATGCCTGGCAGAGGGGTTTGGTCTTGATCCTGTAGACTTCGGGAGCCCCTGAGAGGAAGCAACTTGTGGCATCTTACCAAGTTCCCTCTGGTGCATGGGGGAGGATGGAGGCCGAGGACAGGCGCAGGAGCACTAAGGACACTGTGGTGGGCAAACCCGGGTGGGAGGAAGAGTGAGCAGGTCGTGTGGAATGCCTGCGTGCGGCGCTGCGAGCATTAGCCTGGATGACCTGGAGCCTTCAGCCATCGTTGCCAGGCTGCAGAAGGGATGGCAAAGGGATTTCATCTCATGTCAGCTCCAACAAGTGGAAGGTGGACCCTGTGAGGAGTCCCAGGCTCAGCCGGCAGCTCAGTGATCCATTAGTGATGCCTGATGTCCATTGAGTTTGGAGAGTGGGGTCGCACTTTGTGGTCCCCAGCTAGGGTTTCAGTGTCTCTAGGAGACCCTTGGATCTGCCTCCACCTCACATGTTTCTCCTCTTGCACGTGTAGGACTCACCCCACCCACCACGCCTCCATACAAGCCCACAGACGAGGACCCCTTCAAGCCCGACATCAAGCACAGCCCAGGCAAAGACATGGCCCCCAGTCTCCCCACCCTAAAGGGCCTCCAGCTCGGGGCTGCCACAGGGGCGGCTCCCAAGCTGCCCAAGAAGCACCCGGAGCGGAGTGAGCTCCTGTCCCACCTGCGGCATGCCGCAGCCCAGCCAGCTGCCCAGGCCGGCCAGAAGCGCCCCTTCTCCTGGTCCTTTGGAGACCATGACTACTGCCAGGTGCTCAAGCCAGAGGGTGCCCTGCAGAGGAAGGTGCTGAGGTCCTGGGAGCCATCTGGGGTCCACCTTGAGGACTGGTCCCAACAAGGTGCCCTGCAGGCTGAGGCGCAGGCCTCAGGCAGGGAGGAAGACAGAAGCTGTGAGGCAGGGGCAGCTGCAAAGGACAGTCTGCTGCTGAGAGACCATGAGATCCGCGCCAGCCTCACCAAGCACTTCGGGCTCCTGGAGACTGCCCTGGAGGATGAAGACCTGGCCTCCTGCAAGAGCCCCGAATATGACACTGTCTTTGAGGACAGCAGCAGCAGCAGTGGCGAGAGCAGCTTCCTCCTGGAGGAGGAGGAGGACAATGATGAGGACTCAGGGGTCAGCCCCTCTCGCTCTGACCACTGCCCCTACCAGAGCCCACCAAGCAAGTCCAGTCGGCAGCTCTGTTCCCGCAGCCGCTCCAGCTCTGGCTCCTCGTCCTGCCGCTCCTGGTCACCAGCCATCCGCCGGACCTTCAGGTATGGATGGGTGGCCTCAGGAGGGACCACAGGCACCTAAGAACCCCAGTTCCCAGGGTGCTGGGGGACGGGGGAGCTTTGAAACTAGGCCTGCATTTACCTGTGCGGTCCATGACCTGGTTAGAGGCCTGAAGGTGGTCTCCTTGGGGGAGTTGTGGGCAAGTCCAGCAGGTGAGCAAAGCCTGCCGAGTGACAGCTGGGAGTGGCCCAAAGCTCCTGGCCTCGAGGAAGGAAGAATGCTTACTCTCTGTCATTGGGGCCTTGTGTCTAAATGAGCTTACTTCTTATGCATCTGTTTTCTGCTTATATATTTGCAAAACAGATAGGTTTTTACGGAAACATATGCATACCCACACAGTTTAATATCTATGTGACACTTACATGTACAATTAAAAGAAAAATAAACATAATTCTATTCTGTATTCTGAAAAATACCTGGGTTTAAAGCAGCGATAAGACTTATTCCTATTTCTCGATACTGCTGAGTTGCACCACTGTGACTTTCCATAGTCAGCTGCTGCAGCCCCCCCTTCACCTTCCCCCATTCTCCCCCCCCCCTTCCCCGCCCCACGCCAGCTTTTATCTTAGCACAGGGATGATGCAATGATGCGTCATGAGCCTGTTCGCTCATCCCATCTTTGCTCACTGAACCAGACTGCAGAGGGAGCTGGTCCAAAAGTCAGCGGGGAGCTGGGCAGAAAGAATAAAGGTCTGTCATATTTTGGTAGAGACAGGTTGCTTCTCTCCCTGATCCCAGCAGGGTCTTCCTGGGGGCGGCCTGAGGTGGGTTGGTGCAGGTCCCAAACACTCTGTCTGAGGTGTGCCTGAGTGACCACTAGATGGTGCTCTTGGGTCTAGAGCAGTGCAGCTGAGTCACCTGGAGGGCTCCTTACCAGCAGATGGCTGGGCCCCACCCCTGAGTGTCTGATACAGTCGGTCTGAGGGTGGGAGAAGTTTGCATTTCTAATAAGTTCCTACGTGATGGTGCCCAGAGTCGCCAGAGTGTGACTCTGAGAATCAGAATTAAGTAATATCTTTTCTTAGAAAAATTCATCTTTCTATTTATGTATCTACACCAGAAGCTCATAACTGAAAATCTGTTTAAAGCAAAGGTTCCCCCCGCCCCATTAAAATGTGCATAGACGTCTAATGGTGACTTCAATTTTAAGGGACACCCAGACACTAAAGTTTAGAAGCCCTGGACTATGTTACTCAAAATGAGCTCCCCAGCGATTTCTCTGAAAGCCCTTCTATATAATAAGCCAGGATGATCAGTCAGAATGGTCTTCTGTCAGACCTCTCCGAGCTCTCTTTCCGGCTCTTTTCTCCTTTCCCCTGGGGTTGCTGTAAGCTAAATGACTCAGTGTTCACATTAGGCAGTTTCTCTGCAGCATTTGCTCAGAGGCTCCTGAGGTTCTATTCCTGTTGAAACCCACCCCTAACTGGGAGCTGGAGCTGCCTAGGCTCACCTCCTCCATGACAGGTTCAGGGGTGCTTACGTAGGGCCTGCGGTCATGGGTTTGTTAGCAAAGAGTTGGTAGCCTCTTTAGAAAGCCCCATGACTTCCTTTCCTCTTTTTGCTTTTGGGCCAACGTCAGGCCTGGCTTTTTCTGCTGACTGGAGAAAGTTCATTGGTTAACTCAGTTCCTGTTTGGCTACCTGGCAGAGCTCAGCACCTGGTAAGCCTGGTAAACTAGTAATCAGCCTTCACCAGATCCACCTTTCTTTTCCTGTGCTTCCGCTACCAAATATCAGTCAACAGGAAGCATTTTGAGATGGTTTAACAATACAAACCCCAAACCCCACGGTACCTTTCAGTCACTCTCAGCTCTTCAGGGGAACTGCCAGTTCTGTTGCAAATGGATGATGATACTATTATTGTATAGCACTTTAAAATTTACAAGTCATGCCCTCTTCTATTACCCTATTCAAGTTTCACAGATGCACTTAGACAGCACATCTGCTTCTTATCCCCACTTTATAGATGAGGAAGTGGAAGCTCCAAGAGGTTCAATGGAAATGCGAAGCAAGCAATTATTGAGCAGTCCCAGGGCTCAGCATTTCTGTGCATTTTCTGGCCTGATCCTCACAAAAGGCCCAGGAGGTGGATACCTTTGATTCTCCCTGTTTTACCAATGAAATGATGATGAGAGGGATTAAGTGCCTGGCCCCCAAGGGCACCCAGCAGGGATGTGGTAGAACCAGGATTCAAGCACAGGCTGCCTGACTCAGAGCCCTGCTCTTAAACTCTGCGCTGTATCGTGTTCCCAAGGATGCAGACAGTACGTGGCAGAACCAAGACTCGGCCACGCCTCACACACCGTCCTCCCTCCGAAGGAGAGAGCAGAGTGCAGGCAGGCATGAGGGCACAGGCGTGGGGCTCCTTCCTCGGGCTGTGCGTCTGGATTGAGTAGCCATAGTGGTACAGGCCATGGGGCTGTAATGGCAGCGGTTGCTGCTAGGCCAGGCACCAACCACTAGAGGGCAGTGGGTCTAGATCCAGCAGCCGCCTTCTGCCCCTGGCTTCTCCACTTTCTGGTTTGGGCAAATCCCATGCTGAACCTGAGCCTCAGGATTTTCATCTGGAAAATGGGGAAACATAAGACCCCATCAGGGCTTTTTTCATCAGATCAAATACGAAAATGAAGTGAGAGGACCTTTTTATCCCTAAAGTCATAGAAAGGCCAGGTTCAGAAGGTTGTGATCAGCAATGCGGTGGTTCCCAGCACTCTAGTCCCAGAGGTGACAGAAGGCATGTGTCAGCGTTCGGCCACAGACACGGTGGTGGCTGTCCCTGCTGGGGGTGGGGTGGGGTAGGGTTCTAACAGCCCTCTTGAGTGAGTCCCGAGAGAAGCGTACCTTCCTCCGGGAGCGCTCTGCCCGCCCCGCGTGGTCCCTGCGGAGAGTGAGTGCCTCTGCTTTGCTTGTTCACTGACAGATGTGAGAGCAGAGGGCCGTGTTCAGACGGAACGCCAGGCGTCCGGCACGCCAGGAAGCAGCGGGAAAAAGCTATTGTAAGTGACCTGGGGCCCCGGAGCCCGGAGCAAATGGGAACCAATAGGGGCGTCAGGAAGGGCCGGGACTTCGTGGACCCGAAACCCTTTGAGACCTTCAGAAGATAATTATATTTCTCTCATTTGAAAAAGCACAAGGGGCCCTGGCTGGTGTGGCTCAGTGGATTGAGCTCCGGCCTGTGAACCAAAGGGTCTCGGGTTTGATTTCCAGTCAGGGCACATGCCTGGGTTGTGGGCAAGGCCTCCAGTAGGGGGCGCTTGAGAGGCAACCACATATTGATGTTTCTCTCTCTCTCTTCCTCCCTTCCCCTGTCTCTAAAAATAAATAAAATCTTTTTAAAAACCCAGCAACCTTAAACACAAGGGCCACCAAAGGGCATCAAATGTAGCACCATGCACGGTGACGCCAGAGGACTGGTTGTGGTGCATGCAGTTGTTGGTGATTTAGGGCGCAACACCATGGGCTCCCAACAAAAGACAGGCCGTGCTAGGGGGAGCAGAGCCGGGCCAACCAGGCCACATGCCAGCCCCACCACCACCTTCTGTGTGGCCTTGGGCATGTGCTCCAGCTTCCCTGATCCTCAGTTTACTCATTGGCACACAAGGGAGTTGGGCCTTAGGCTTTCTAAGGGTCCCCCAGATGGATTAGGTTTACAGAGAGCCCATCTCTTGCTCCCTGCTCACCTCCCTAACCCTCCACCAGGGTGAGTCCGCAGGCCCAGCCCTGCCTGGCGAGCCTACTGCAAAGCACCCACCCCACAGAGAAAATTAATCAGGAAGCTGCTGGAAGTGGGTTGGGGGTGCAGCCAGCTTCTCTGTGTCACTGGAAAGGAGGGAAGGGATAGTAAGACAGAAACACAAAAAGGCGAACAGATTCTCACTTCATTGCATCCCCATATGGTTGCTTCGGGGAGAAGACGGGGCGGGGCACACATGGGGTTTGCCTGCCGCAGTGGTACAGAGCTCGACTGCAAGCAGGTCTTTCACGGAACCTCTTCTTAGAATCCATGTGTGACTAGTCAGCAGCTGTGACATGCCTGGCACTGTCCTAGGCCCTGGATGACAACAATGAACAAGACAGATGAGATCCCCACTCCCGTGGTTGGTCAGAATGGGGTGGGGGAGAGAGACAACACAGGCATAAACACGAAATAGACACTGTAATTACAGACTGGGAGAAGTGCTATGCAAGTGTTCACGTCATGGCTGAAATGTCCGACTGTTTTGACTGTTGGGGAGGATGTATTTATATGGTAGTCCAGCCGCAGGGGTGGGGGCATCTTCAAGGAGCTGAGCCCTGAGGGATGAAAGATGCCAACCAAGCGAAGATTCAGAACAATGGGGCAGAGGCAGGAAAGCTCATCATGACTTCGAGGAGCTGCAAGGAGGCTGGGGGAGAGGATTTCTGCGTGGAACTTAACTGAGCCTCATCCTGGCGTGGGATACGCAGTTCCTGTGACTGTTGACAGAGGAGCCCCGCCATGGACCCGGGCCTTCCCTCCCTGCTCCCTGTCACCTGTGATATAAGAATGGGATGGCTCCAGCATCACTGGCCTTAACCTGTTCGCAGAGAAACCTGTCCAGACCAGAACTTGTCAGTGCTGCCCGTGGGAGCCCAGGTTCCCAGGAACACAGCTGGAGTTTCTCCAGCAGGTCAAAGCGACCCTTCCAAGGGAAGTGGCTTTAACTAGACGCAATGATAGATGGTGGGGGGGGGGGGGGGGTTTCAGTTGGGCCTCTTCCCACCCCTGCCCTCTGCTGGATTGTTCTAGGGGCCCCCAGGTGTGGCACCGAGCTCACCCGAAGGCGGCTTCTGTCAGCGTGCACACTGCCCTGGAAGAACCAAGGATAATATTGGCTCCAGTAGCCCTGTGTCCTCTGTCCCATCGCTTTCCTCCCAGCCCGCTCTGACCCCCTGTAGGACCTGGCTCCCAAGGCTTGCCCACCGCACTTTGCCTTTCCACCCCAGCAACTCCCCTGTTACCTAAAAAAGTCTCAGACTCAAACCAAATATGGAAGCTACTGAGTTCTCGGCTATATTAACAGTGAGGAGCCTCATTTCCTTCAAGGAAGCAATTGCTTCCCTGGGGGGTCAATTCCCCATTTGACACCCCGCTGCCCGCTTCTCCAGCAGGAGTCCCCTGGGAGAGCGGCCGTCATTGTCTTCTCTCTGACCCCAGCCCCAGCTGGTGTCACGCGCTCAGCCAGGCGTCATGGACTGGAGATGAGGAATCCCCAGGGGCCTGCCGCCAAGGGGGCCCTCAGGAGCCAGCCAGTGACTGGGTCTCTCTGTGTCCCCCTTCTCGAGCAGGGCGAAGGCCGTGTGGTCTATGTTCGAAATCTCTCCAGCGACATGAGCTCCCGCGAGCTGAAGAGGCGCTTCGAAGTGTTTGGCGAGATTGTGGAGTGCCAGGTGCTGACGAGAAGCAAGAGGTGAGTGGAGTCAAGCTCTGGCAGAGGAGGGGAGTGGGAAGGGGCAGAGGTTCCTATCCAGGGCTGGCCACACAGAAGATGCCTTAGAAGGTTGGTGGAACAAGTTGGATAAAATCCACAGCCTGGGCATGGAGGAGGACCAGTAAGGATCATGCAGCCCAGTAATAGCAGCAGACACATGCTGGTGGTTTGCTAAGTAACAGTCAGTTTCCATGCATTCTCTTAAACGTCCCAGCATTGTGCCTGTGATGTATGCGCTCGTTCTTTCTCCGGCTATTCTTTCCGGGGAAGCTCAGGCAAACTACTGAGCAGCTAGTTCGTGGCAGAGGCAGATCTGAAGGCATTTTTAACAGCCCCTGGCAGTTAAAGGCTTGCATGCTCTAGGACCTCCCTGTGCTGCAAGCCCCACACTGCTCATACCCCTCCATTCCTGTGCAGCAGCCACTCTGGAACCTTTGTTCTCCTGTGTAGCTTGGTTTTTCCTCACTCACCTGGGAAAGCAGCGTTTCATCTGTCAGGGATCTGCAATCTAGGTTGTATAGAAATGCAGAGCTTAGGTGTCCAACACTTGTCAGTTTTGAAATAATTCTGAAGCATTTACTATTATACTTACAAGATGTTATTCAGGTTTTTAAATCCTAATTTAATAATGATTTTTAAAGCACAATGAGAAAATAATGTCTGCATAAGAATCATTACACGCCGTGCATCCATTAGGATGGCTACAGAAAATAACAAGTGTTGGCGAGGATGTGGAGAAAAGGGAACCTTTATGTGCTCTTGGTGGGGATGTAAAATGGTGCAGCCACTATGGAAAACAGTATGGAGGTTCCTAAAAAATTAGACATAGAATTACCATATGACCCAGCAATCCCACTCCTGGGTAAACACTCAAAAGAATTGAAAGCAAGACCTCAAAGAGCTATTTGCACACCCATGTTCGTAGCACCGCTATTCACAGTAGCCAAGAGGAGACAACAGCCCAGGTGTCCATCCATAGATGAAAGGGTAAAGAAAATACAGTGTATGCATATGATGAATATTATTCAACCTTAAAAGGAAAGGAAACCTTGTCACATACAAGCATGGATGAATCCTGAAGACATGCAAAGTGAAATAAAGCCAGTCACAAGAAGATAGATACTGTATGATTCCAGTTATATGAGGTACCCAGAGTAGTCGAATTCATAGACACAGAAAGTAGATTGGTGGTTGCCAGGGGCTGGGGAGAAGGGGGTAAGACAGAGTTGTTGTTTAATGGGTACAGAGTTTTAGTTTTGCAAGATGAAGAAGTTCTGGGACTCTGTCGCACAACAACAAATAAACTGAACTCTACTGAACTGTACACATAAAAATAGTAAAGCTGGTAAATTTTGTTTTTACCGCAATTTTAGAAGAGTCGTTATACAAATGGAAGTGTTTTAAGTTCTATGTGGTCTTCAGGATATCATATGACAATAACATGCAAAAGCAAAATCTTTGAAGACCAGGGTCAATTTATTAATATTTTAAAAGCACACACAAGTCTCAGCCATTTAAAGAGGCAGAAGGGGTTCGGCTCTGGCCTGGCTCAGCAGCGTTTATCAGGCACCTGCTGCTGGTAAGCCTGTTCTGAGCAGTGGGGCCCATGAGTCTGTGTAGCAGATGGTTGGATATATCAGTTAGGATTCTTTCTCTTGATCATGGAACTGAAGAGTCGGAGGTGGGGATAGAACTGACTTTAGCCTCCCTGAACCTTGGCATCCTTCCCTAGTAGGCCTCCCTCATGGTGGCAAAGTGGCTGCCTCCACCTCTAAGCTTATCTCCTCCCAGTGGGAGCAGGAGTCGCCCTCATGGTTCCAGCAAAGACCTGGGATGGATTTTCTGGGGTTCTTCTTTGGGTGACAGGCTCACCCTTGAACAAATCGTGGTGGCCAGGGAGGGCCACAGTCATGCGACCTACCCTGGTGCCCTGAGGCTGGCTGAGCGCGTGGTGCTGTTTGAGAAAGGGGGTAGATGCTGAGCAGGCCAAGGTAACAGAAGTCTAGCACAAAGGGTGAGATTGTAGAGAATACCAGCGATGTTAGGGAGGGTGAGGCCAAGTCAGTAGCCAAGGAAGCGGCGGCTGAGGCTGGCTTTGGAGGATGCCGGCATGGTGGGATGGGGTGTAGGCGGGGCAAATCCCAGAAAATGGGAATCCCGAGGGAAACCGGAGTGTGGAGAGCGCAGCAGCCTCAGGGTGGGAGGCCTGAGTTTGGGTACTCTGCTCTGCCACCCACCTAGGGCAAACTCTGAGTCCACTGAGCTTCCTTCCTCATCCCGAGGTGGAGACGACAGCAGCACCTGCTCACAGGCGGTCTGACGTGCGGTGGCCAGCCCTGGCAGACTCCAGTAAAGGACCAGTTCTTACTTTCGTTACATTGCAGAGATCAGCTTAGCCATTGTCCTCACCTCTACGTGGGGGACCATGGAATATGGGTACTGGATCATTGGCTCTCTGCTCCTCACCTAGTCACGGGTGGTCCGACGGTGTCGACCAAGCTGGCCCAATGACACTGTCCTCTTGTCATCTCCCCGCAGGGCCGAGAAGTATGGCTTCATCACCTATCGGTGTTCTGAGCACGCCGCCCTCTCTCTGAGGAACGGCGCAGCCCTGCGGAAGCACAACGAGCCCTCATTCCAGCTGAGCTGCGGAGGACTCCGGCGCTTCTGCTGGCCCAGGTACACTGACTATGGTAAGTACCCAAGGCCTCGCCACCTTCCTGCTAGACCCAGAACACAAAGGGCTGAGACCTCCTTTAATGAGACCCAGACCGTCTAGACACAGCTCACACACCTGAGCCCCAGGTGCTGACTGGTTTATCTGGGCAGACACTTTGCCAGGAGGCTGCCATCTTGCTTTTCTTCTGCTCTCTGGTCCATTCTGTCCTGTTGTAGGACTGGTACCAAAAAGAGAGATCCAAGTCTCCCGTGGCCTTTTGGAAGGTCCAACCTTGGGCTCACAGCCAGGTGACAGAGCCACGACTACTGTTTCTTTGACCTCACAGAGCCGGTGGCTGCCCTGCCCCATTGAGAAGCATCCCACGGTGGCCCCAACAGGCAGCAGCCTTGTCCAAAAAAGGGCCACAGGGAAACAATACTGTCACCATGCCCTTGCCATTTGGGCACAGATTGGTGAAGAAAGACAGAGAAGTACGATTTCGGAGAAAATTATTTGCGGGGGAGAGCCCAACACAGCTTCCATAGAGCAGGGCTGAGTTCCGTGGAGGGTTCCAGGCCAGGCAGTGCTCCGCCCGCCTGTGTGTCCTCTTAGGGGACCCTGCTCCATAGCTAGACAGTGAGGGCATCCTGGTTTTGACAGCTGCCTTAGGCGGCATCTGCAGTAGTTTGCCAGTGAGCAGGAAGCTCTTAGGGGAGGTAGAATTACAGGGTACAGGAGCTCTGGGGCACTCTGGGTGAGGTTCCCCTAGTCTACCAATGGCAGCCAAGGCCCCGAGATATTGGTCACAGCAGAATGGCAGAGCCGATGCTCGCTGTCCAGTGCTCTGTGCGGCCTTGGGTCACATCCACTTTACGGTGGCAGATTTTCTGATGGTCTGACCTTTCCAAGTTGCTCACTGTCTTCCCCACTCACTGACTCCTCCACCCCCTGCCCAGATTCCAATTCAGAAGAGGCCCATCCTGCGTCAGTGAAAAACAAGTACGAAGCCATGGATTTTGACAGCTTGCTGAAGGAGGCCCAGCAGAGCCTACATTGATAACAGCCTTAACCTTCGAGGAATACCTCAATACCTCAGACAAGGCCCTTCCAATATGTTTACGTTTTCAAAGAAAATAAGTATATGAAAAGGAGAGAGAGCGAGCGTGTGAGAGAACACACATGAGAGAGAGAGAGAGAGAGAGAGAGAGAGACTTGAAACTGCTGTCCTTTTAAAAAAAATCAATGTTTACATTGAACAAAGCTGCTTCTGTCTGTGAGTTTCCATGGTGTTGACGTTCCACTGCCACATTAGTGTCCTCGCTTCTGACGGGTTGTCCCAGGTGCGTCTCCAAGTGCTGGGTCAGTCGCCCACCTCCCCTCCTTCCCGACCGACGTCCCCTCGTAGACGTGCAGCCGTGTTTGCCATAACATTTCTTGTCTGTAGTGCGTGATGATGAAATTGTTACTTGTGAATAGAATCAGGATTATAAACTCATTTTTAATTGAAGAAAAAAATAAGTATATCCTTAAAATAATGTATTTATGGCTCAGATGTACTGTGCCTGGGGTTATTGTATTGCTTCCTTGATTTTTTAACTATGCACTGTCGTGAGGTGTTTGCCACTGAGCTGCTCTGCTCCCTTCGCGAGGATGACCCAGAGGTGCTGTGGGGCCGGGGAAGTACGGCCTGCAGCCACAACAAGCAACAGAGGAGAGATGTTTCCGGGCCTTTTCTGCCAAGCCCTGCCCTGTCTCTCATCAAGCAAGTTTGGGTCCAATTACATCCAGAGCCCTCATCTGGTACCCAGCTCAGACTTAAGCGCTCCTGCCTGGCCATGAGTCCTCAGATCTTCAGGAAGGCAGGCAGTTCCTCGAGAGGTAAAATGACTTGCCCGAGGTCCCACAGCCAGCCGGTGAGAGGGCAGGGCAGTGGCCCAGCCCGGGCCTCCCGATTCCAGGCCTCACGCTCCTGCAGCAGCTCGGGTAACGATGCAGAGCTTCAGGGCTGGGAGAGCCGAGTTCAGCTAAACTGGGCAACAGACTAGAACCCTGCAGGCTCATTGTGGGGGTTAAGTCAACAGCTGATTCACCAGCATTAGGTGAGTTTCCATCCTAGCATGTGTTTCCATCCAAGGGGCCCTGTGGTTTGCCTATGCCTGTGGCCTTGCCATCAGATCTCCAGTGACACACCTGGAGTGTCACGGACAGGTGATCTGGGAGCAGTCATCCTTTTCGGGCCAGTCACCAACCCATCTTACTCCCTTCAGTTTGTCCTTCCTTTCCTCAGCTGCGAAGTTGTTTGGGTGGCACGGGACAGGGAAGCAGGAAGAGGATGTGAGGGTTGGGGGTGGATAAAACAATCTCCAAGCTCCTTTTCAACTTAGAAAACATTCTGATTGGCCTTTACTTGAAAATGTGTGTTCTCGAGTGGTATCAAAGCCATGTCCAGCTTGGATGATCTGCAGGTGCCTTGGGGGCCATTCTTGAGAGAGAGCATGGCAGGCGGGCCGTGAGCATGTGGCTTCTGCTTCAGTAAGAGCAGCTCCACCCTGACTGCTTTCAGGCATCAGTGTTCCTTGGTAAATGTTTGTATTTTAAAAAGCAAAGGGAAAGGGTCCTGCTGCTTTAACAAAGTTTGAAATTGACTCATTAAACTAAACAAGCTAAGTTAACCTATTGCTAATGTCAGGCTTACTCCTTTGGGAATTGATAGTTGATTTTTTTTTTTTTTTTAAGATTTTCAAATACCTCAGTAGGTAAACTGAGCCAGCCGATGAGCTTGTCCTGGGTGGTGAGCCTATTCCAAGCCTGCAGAGAAGGCTGGAGGGAACAGGGAGCCTGGGGGGGAATTGGACAAGTTGGTCTCCAAGGTCCCTGCCAGCTCTAACAGTCTTAACCTCTGCTAAGGCAATTCTAGCTCAAGATGGCACATACACAGCATTTGCCCCATTATAGCCACACCCTTGGCCAGTGGCAGGCGTAACTAGTTGACTACAGCACTCATGTTCTTTGAGGCTGGTCTGCTATTAACACACTTTGTAACGTTCATGAGTTTTCTCATTTTTCACGTGCCATCTCTTATGGACTTTAGATGTCAACACACTGTCTTGTCCACATCGAATGAAGCGATCTCATTGGCGGAAACTGTGCAGGTCAATCTATGAAAAACTATATAATTGCACAAACCCATAAAGCATTGCAGTTACATTGTATTTTGGTCATTCGACCCTGGCGTATGTCTTAAGAGATTTCTGTGTGATACGCAGTGTGTTAACATCCTCATCATAGTGCTCTGGGCAGACATTACTAATTGATTAGAGTTTAACCTATTTGACATCTTGGTCTAATCTTCTAAAGGTTTCCATCACATATTAATATGGTGGCAGGGTTTCATGCTGGCCCATTCCTGTCTGTCCTGTCCTGATCTGTGAGAGAAAATTTCCCTAAAGCCATTCCTTGGCACAGGACTCCCGCTATTACTGTGACACACAGTCCCATTTGGGGTAGGGGTAGAGAGCAGAATAGTGGACTTGAACATGTTTGGGGGAGGCAGGGTGTATGAGGATGGACCAGACAAGGGACGTTGCACAGCACAGACCCGAACAGTCTAAATTCCTTTTATAGTTATTCACTGCCTAGCACACAGTAGGCACACAAGAAATGGTTATGGAATGGAATTTAAATCCATCTGCTGCCTCCCCCGAGTCCTCATTTTCACCAAGTAGTAACAGATTTCACCCCGTGGAAGCCGGTAGGAAAGAACTCTAGATTCAGAGTTGGACTAGATCATCTCTAGCCCCACTATTGGCTTCTTTTTCAATTGCACTAGAGGTTCTACCGTGGGCAAGTGGTCCTTTAGGGTAAAAAAAATGAAGATTTTTAGTGAGGGACAAGTCTCTCCCGTCTTCCGAGTCAGATGAAGCTGTCCTTTCACTTCAGATCAATAGAGGGCTCTTGAAGCGATTTAGCCTTGGCCCTTGAGCAGAGCAGAGATCTGAGCATGGCAGTGGGACGCGATGGGCCTAAGGTCAGAGCTGGGGGCTGCTGATGGGAGAGGATGCCTGCCAAGGACATCCAACGGTTTCTGCTCACCGTCCCGTACAAAAAAGACGACAGGTTCTAAAGCTGACTGGCCCTGCAGACCACCTCTGTCCAGAAGACCCATTCGGTGCTGCGTATTACTTACCAAGGGGACTCCAAGGCCTCTCCAGAAAAACTAGTCAACCTTGGTCTCTTTCCCACCAACTTAAGGAGTAACCCAGAGGGAGCAGCTGCCATTGGCAACCATCTCGTCGTAGCTCTGTCCTAGTATTTGCTCTCGATGATGTTTACATGTGATTGCCATAAAGCTTCCTGTAGACTGTTGGCAGCTGCCCATGCCGGGCAGGTTGTACCATCCATCTCTGTGCTGTGCTGGTGTTTTCCAAAAATATCCAATCCAATCGCTAAGTGGAATTCTTCCATCTCCTTCTTCAGTCGGTACGAGGCTGAATCAGAATCCTCACTCTCGGGGGCTCTGGTTGCTGAAGGAAAATGCATCAAAGAGGTCAGAGATATGAGTGGATGAAGTGTAGCTAAGGCCCCGACCCCCTGACCCCTCCACACTTTGTCCCCCCATCAGAAAACTGCTTGGAGTCAAGAAGCACCATTTGGGTGTGAAGCGTCTACTGTGAAGCCTGGCAGCATTGCTTGTGGGATGTGCTCAGGGGAGGGGCAGGGCTTCAGGGGATGCGGGGGCAGGGGAGGGAGAGAGAGGAATGCTCTGAGCTCAAACACTCTACCTGATGCAGACAGATGATGCAATGAGAAGCTTTCATTGCCTAAAGCCCATGCTTGTTGATGTTCTGAGAGTGACTTCTAGGTGTATGCAACCCGCATGCCCAGGCCACTGTGTGGGTGGGGAATGGGGGAGAGCAGAAGACACTGACAGGGAGATTCTTATGTCTGGACAGGTAGGTCAGAACCCCATCCCAGGCCTCAGGTTCCATTGAAATCACAGCGGAGCCTGGAGCAGGAGAGAGGGGTCATCCCAACGGTGAAGCAGAAACCACTCTATAGGATCTGTTGATCTGACTTGACACCAAAACTGCAGTGATTTTCTTAGCGTTTGAGATTTGAGATAGCACAGTGACCCTCAGATATGATCAAGGAAGGAAATTGGATGTATAGTAGCAAATAAAGTGAACCTAATGGTTTCACTGGCCAAAGAAGAGGAACCCCCTTACCCGTTCCCCTGGGGGCAGAAAGGAAACTGCTAAATACTTATGTACAATATGTTTAAGCTGGCCCCCAAGCCCCCGAGGCATTTGCACACACAGATGGGCTCCGGGGCTGTTTGCCAGTCCGGAGGTACAGGGTAAATGGAGGGAGAGCTTGGGAGCTGGGAAGCCCATGCGCACAGAGATGCCCTTGGCCCAAAAGAGATGATGGGCGTGGAGGGAGAGCCCCTGGGAGCCCACTGCATGACACCCAGGAAGTAGGCAGAGGCTGATTTTGCATTGAACAAATAAAAGCACTTTGAGAAAACTGCCACACTTCAGCCTGCCTCCATATGTCTACACTGACAAATGTGGGTCTCCTCGGGCTGTGTGAGCAATTCTCCTAGGCACAGGGAAAGGGCGTCAGGGAGGGGCAGGGAGCAGAGGATCTTCCAAGAGGGGAGCAGCAAGAGAGCCTACCCTAGGGCTAGCCCTTTGCTGGCCTCTTTGTTGGAGGCCCTAGAAACGGAACAGTGAATTTAGATCTTGGTACCTATTTTTTTTTTTAATAAAAAATTAAAACAGCCCAGCTTATTGAAATGGATTTGCAGACCAAGTCATTTAACTATAAGCCATCTCGGAGTGGGAGAGCCGACGTTTCTTCCCTGCTACGTGGTCCTGGGCCTCTGTTTCCTCATCCAGCCATGGAGAATATTGGAGAGGGTGAACAGTCAAGTCCCTTTCTTCTCCGATAGGCTTGGATTCCCTTCTCTGGCCATGCCCAGCTCACGTTCAGGGTGAAGTGCTCTGCAAGGCAACCAACCAGCAGCAGGTTCAAACCCACATGGTCCTGGCAGAGCTACCTTATACCAGGAGGCCAGCTCCCCGGGACAGATCTAAGCCATAGTTTCCAGGTGGGATGGTGAGAAGTTCAGCCCCGGCTCAGCTAGGTGGCGATGTCGAACCTCACTCAGCCTCCTCATCCTCCCCACCAAACAACTATTAACCTGAATGTCCTGACCACTTGGCTGTTTCCCTCTTGCTGTCAGACAATACTAGCAATACATTGTTTTTTCCAGAACAGCTTAACTTAGGCACTTTTCACACATTTCTTTTAAGTGATGGTAAAACATAGAGGGCAACAGGAGGCCTCGATCGCACTGCACATGTTGAGGGCAGCTTTCTTTTTTTTTTTTTGTTTTGTTTCTTTAACGGTGACTGAAGCTTCTTCCTGATGAGGGGGGCAGATTATCAGATACTCTTTTGTCAGAATCCCTTGCACATCCGGAAGCAGCTCAGAAACCCAACTGCCCAAAGGGAGGGCTTAGAAAAACACGGTCTTGTAGTGGTCCGTTCCTGGGCTGTGCAACAGCACCTCGAAGAGGTGTTTATATAGCTAGAACCTCCTCTGCTGTATTTTTTGTCAAAGGATCCTTCAAGGAAGCCTAATAAAGCCTCCTTTTCCACTTTGCTGGCCTTGCTCTGGGTGACTTTTGAAGGGATTGGTTCGCTTCCACTTCAGCACTTTGCCTTATCAACGTCTAGTCGCCATCTAGTGGCCAAAGACTGTATCCACCAGCTACCCAGATGGAAGGCAAGTAAATCCTTTCCGCCACCTTGCTGTCCAACACCCGCTTTGGGAATGAAACGTAAATGTTGTGAGTGAACTGTCTGTAATATTTAGAGCCCAGCGAACACCGCTCAGGAGAATGAAGAAGCAATTACACAGATGCACACAGACTGAGAAGCGCACTAGCTCTCCTGTGGGCAGAGGAGATAGGGGTGAACCCTGCGTCCAGGTGCCCAGGAGGGGTTTGCTGTAACCGCAATACTGGCAGCCGAGCTGCTGACCTTCTTAAGTGAACCTCTGCTAGGTGGGCCGCACCGTACCCTCGGGACAAGCAAAGAGGCTGGGGGTCAGGATTCTGCGTGCGGGCTGGCCATGGCCTTTGATGGGGTCCACCAAATAGCCAAACAGGTTATATATATATATATATATATATATACACACACACACGCACACACACACACACATATATATAAATTTTTTTGTTGTTAGTTTGTTTTTGTTTCTCTATTTTGTATTTAAAAAATCTTGTCAAGTGTTTTTGTGTTAGGAATAAAAAGTCATAAACTATTCCCAACTTTGTTTCTTGAGGGATGTTCTGATTCTGATGGAAACAGGTTGGAAATCTCAAGGGGCGTGGGGTCAGGGTGGTCAGGAAAACAGGGAAGTGGACCACTTGGATTTCCAGATGGCCTCCGGGGAAGACGGCCATCCCGAAGTCGGGCTCGGTGCAGTCTGCTCTGGGAAGTCACACCGCCCCTTCACCTCCTTGTGCCACGGCATTAGCATTGGCTTGGAGCGTCTGCTTCCAGAGCAGCTGCTCATGGTGAAACCAACGTCAGCTCTCTCTCCCCAACCCCAGGTTTCTAAAGAGACAGTATTTGCAGATAGCCTTAATCGACTGGGTGAGGTGGTCCCTATGGTCCCTTCCAGCATTTCCAAATCTTGGACTCAAATTATTTTCTCTTGGTGTGACCATGCAGCCTAGAGAATTCCGAGCAATAGGAAGCCAGGGCTTTCCCCAGCTCTGCGACAGGGTCAAAGCAGGGAATGGCTAACCTTGTGAGGTTTGGGCATCCCCAGGGGTACTCCATAGGGGGCATTATTTACTGGGAAGCTCAACAAGGTAACTACAGCCTGGGGTGCGTGAGCGCAAGGCTGCGTGTGTGTGTGTGTGTGTCTGTGCGCGCGTGCACCCGCATGCCCGTCTGTGTGTGTGGGGGGAGGGATTACATTGATGCATTTCTTGAGAAAGGTGCAAGAATTTCACCTACACAGAGGGACACATCGCTTTGTTATTTATAATAGAAAGCTAAATTTTAATTTTTTAAAGGACACTGCTAATGATTGGGAATCGAGTTTTTAGTTTTGCTATTTTTTTTAATTGGTAGAGGATTTTTATATATTTTTTCCATTTTGTTGGGTTGTGTCCTTATTTATATAAATACTTTATCTGTAAGAGGCAAGGAAGAAACCTTCCTTGCTTTTAATTATTGTGGTTGTCATTGTCCCTGTTTTATTTCTGCTGTGATTTATCTGTCTTACCTTCTAAATGAGAAAATGTTTTCCTGTATTTGTACATTGTCAGATTCTATAGTTTCATAGATAATTTAACCAAATTGCTCTATGTATTATTATCCTGTGAGTATAAAGTTCTATTTTAACCTCTGTAAATACTTCAGAACTGGCTTCTTTTCTCAGACTCCCACTGTGGAGTTATTGTTTACATCACAAAAACTGTAGAATCTCTATGCTCATGTACTGTAAATAGTGAAGTGATCTGCTTATAAATAAACTTAACAAATACACTATGGAGATTAAAAAGGAAACACCACCCACAGCCCTGCCCAGGTGTGCCTTTATTGGTCCTGCGTGCTTGTTGAGGGACTGGGGAGAGGATTCTGGTTTTGGCGTCACCTTCTTAGAAGGGACCCTGGTCACGGTGGGCCCCCCGCCCTTCCAGAATTTTCTGAGCTCACTTCTTCCTTCACAGCTCTTTCCACAGATCATAATGAATCATTCAGACTTACCTCCCATAACAGATGTCCCATGACTGCCTTTTGCCAGGACTCTTATGAAGCTACACCGCTTTCTGAACAAGGACTCTCTTGTTTTGGTGTGTCGGCCTTTTCACCCAAGCACACTAAAGGAATGTGCAAGTGTGGTGTTTGTGGTGTCTGGCAGAAACGCCCATCAGTGGGCTCTAAAGCAGTTTTTGGTCAGTGGATGTGAAGAACAACAGATTTGAAGTGTGTGCCGTATTTAGGTGAACTGGAAACTTTTTCCTTTGCTCAGTTACTCCGGGCCAGAGCGGCGAAGAAGTGGCATTTTCCAAGACTGAGCCTCGGATGTGTGTGCCTTTCCTCAGTTTCAAAACACTCGGGGGTTTAGCTTTTAATTTGCCCTAAAGCTGCTTTAATGTTAATTTTTTTTTCCACATTAGTATTTTCACGTGCGCTCTGAATGCCAGATATCCGTGTGCCCCCAGAGCGCTGAAACATTGGTGAAGAAAATCACATACAAACAAGAGCAGGCACAGTCAGCCATTTCAGTTCATGTTACGTGCAAACTGTCCTCAAATTGTTGTTTATTACCTACAGCAATAGTTTGTCATTGTTCAGGTGATTTATTTTTTCAACCTGGAAATTGTTTGGATTTCTTCGGTTGGAAGGGAGCGCATGGTGATTTTTCCTTTGAAAATGATCAGGGAGTTTGCACTTAGCAGCAGGGATCCCTGGCATGTTCCAGTCCTTGGAGAGGTCTTCCATGGGATTGACTGCTCAGTACCTGGCACCTGCTTACTAGACACTAAACTGCAGGAGGACAGGGTGCTTCCCCATCCATTGCTGGGTGCCTGGCCCCATGAATCAGGAATTCATGAACGGGTGAGTGAGGGGCTCCTATCCGTGGCCCAATGACCACACATAGCTAGGAAGGTAACCAGGCCACAGAGTCACAGAAACAACCCCTTCAAAAGTGCAGCCAGTGGTGGGAGAAATAGAACAGGAGAGTCAGAGCCACGAGACCTGTGTTTGAGACCCAGCTCCGCCATTTTTGTGCTGCGCAAACTTGGACAAGGCATCTCATCAGCGTCCTCAAGGAAGAAACCAGATGATTGCCAAGGTCCTACCAAAGGCAGATTCTCAGAAGCAACTATGTTGCAGGGAAAATGGTTACAAGCCAGGAGCCTGTTGTCAGGTTGCTGGGCGTCCTTGGGCAGGTTTCTTAACCTCTCTGAGTCTTTTTTTCATTGTGTGTTAAATGTGGCTAGTAATCATTTCTACCCCATAGGGTTGTTGTGAGGATGAAATAGATGGTGCACAGTACGTGGGACATTAGAAGCAGGGAGTCAACATGAGGTGCCACCCTCATCACACACGGTCCCTTTCGGTCTAACCGTAGCCCTGTGGGAGGCGAGGCAAAGAGCATGGCCCTCGTTTGACAGATGGGGAAGGCTGGAGATGAAAAAGAGCAAAGGGAACCTGCCCCAGGGACAGAGCCTGCGCCAGCACCGTCACTGTATATTCCTGGGTGACACTTCTCTTTTTTACCACCTAGTTGCTACACGTGATGGTGCTTAGAGACACACCATTGCTTAAGAGACCGCTGCTCTGAGAGTGCCAACTTCAGGATGGCAGAGAATCTAGCTGGGGAGGTCAAAGACGAGCTTTCCAGACCCAGCTCCCTGTTCACATAATGACCTGAAAGGATAGGCAAGGCTCATGCGTCAGGAGCTCAGATTGACCTGCTGTGGAAGTCACAGGGACAAGTGCTCTGTACACTGTGTTCTCGTGCACTTGGGCATCTGCTTCTGGAGGAGAACCAGGGAGTTGTGCCATGAACTTTGCACAGCCCATCCCCTGCTGGCCTTCAGTTTCCTCGTTTATGTAAAAATAAAGCGGGGGTGGAGGGCTGTTAGAGTAGATCAGTGGTTTACAAATAGTTTGGAGAAAATATTCCCTCTCCTCAAAGCAACTAGAGCCAACACCCACCTATAGGAGAATCAGGCACAGAGGAAGCAAACGGAGGAATCCAGAATATGGGACAACCGACACTTTCTGCAACAAGAAAAAAGAGGGACACTGTTTTGGATTAAAACAAACTCAAGGGACATAACAACTAAAAGTGTAAGACCTGTTTGGATCAATTCAAGCCAACGAACGATTAAAGACATTTGTGTTCAACGGGGAAGAAGGGCTGCTGTCCGAGTCGGGTTCCCAAGAGGGCAGCCGCTAGCGTGGACCCCTCAGCCGCAGGGCAGTTGTTAAAGGGCACCCCCAGAACAACACCTAGTGCAGGAGGGGGTGGGAGTGGGCAGAAGGAGAAGCTGAGCTGTAATGCGAGCCCAGCGACAGCCTTGGGGGACCCCACAAGGAGGCCTGGAGCTACCATGGCCCCGCACAGCTGTCCCCTGCTGGGCCAAGGGGGCCAGACCTTAACACCTGGCATGGATCAGTCACTGCATGCAGGCCACCCAGGGAAAGGGTGTGACCTTGGGCAAAGTGTCTCCAGGCAGCGGAGGCGATCCCCAAAGGGGCCGACGCTGAGGGCTGTCTGCCGGCAGCGCTCCCAGCTGCTGGGGCCACGGGTCCTTCCCTCTTCAGCAAAAGGGCCTGGACAGCTCATCACAGCATCGACAACAACTGGACTGCAGGTGTTCATTTTTTGCATATGATAATGATGTGGTGATGTTAGAAAACGCCCATCTATCTGAAATGGCATGTCTGGAATTTTCTTTTAAATACTTCAGCCAAGAGAAAGTTAAAAAAAATATAAAAGACAGGTGAAGACAACGTGGCAGAATCTCGGTACTGGAATAGGGTGGTAGGTGAGGGTTCATTGTATGATGCTCTACTTTTGAGAATGATTGAAAGTGTTTATAATAAAATAGAAAATGAAAGAACAAGAACAAAAATGATCCTAAGTAAGCACTTGAGCCTGGCATTAATTACATATTTAATGGATGTCTACAATAGCTAGAATATTGGGGTCAGCTCAATAAAAAGTTCTCAAAGCTGAAACATTGTTTGAAAGCCCCTCCATACGAAGTAAGCTAAAATCTCATCCAGCTTTCAAAGCTTATGACTCTTTTACTTCTCAAGAAGGTGTCCTGTTTGCCCCTGGCTTGGGTGGTCTCTTCCTGTGAAGGGCAGGGCAATCTGGTCAGCGATCCCCCGTGGGCTACTGGATACAGCAGGACTTGGACGCAGGGGGACCCCCTCCAAGGCCGGAGGTCCCCCCAGGCTGATTGCCCGCTGCAATCAGAGAGAACACCAGGTGAGAGGAGGCTGCAGGAGGACTTCCCCTTTGCCCTCCGGCCTACCAAGGGTTGCAAACTCAAGGCTTTCCCATAAGGGGAAGCCAAAGATAAGGGGAATCCGAGAAAGCAAGAATGTTTCTCTACACTAAGAAAAATAACTATCAGGATGATACATGGCAACACCCGCTTCGCACCAATTTCTGAGAGACAACGGGGAGTGGTGGGAACTGTGCCAAACTGGAGATTCCCTTGTCCCATGTAAAGGGGCGGGGCGGGGGGCGGTGCCACTCAGTTTCAACTAATTATTATCACGCAGAAATCCAGAGGCGTGCGGCCAGATCTCCATCTTTTAAAAAGACATGCTGGAAATTTGGATTTTTAAAATGGGAACTATCCTCATTTTAAAGAGTAGACGGCAAATTCACATTTTAAACAAATGGAGGCCAAGCAGAAGCCATCTGGCAGGCGGTAAGTTTGCACAGACCTGCCACTAGCCCATAAGACAATTTGTGCAGATTAGAAAGAGGCAATTCTTCCTCTGGACACTTTAATGCCATTTTCTGGAAAATAGAAATTAGGGTACAAATCTGGGGTAGCAGAAATACATCGGACACCGGGAGCTGTGCAAAGCACAACTTCCCAAACCGTGAGGGATGGTTCCACGTCTGTAGCCGCCAGTTTGGAACCACCCCACACTGCACGGTGCAGAGCAGACCTGGAGGCCTGTGCGTGCTAAGAACTACATGTAGAGGGACACTGTGCGGAGGGGGACGGTCCGGAGGGTGGGGAGGTCCGTAGCCATGTCCTGTGAGGGAACCAGAGCCACACAACCAGTAAAGGAAATGACTTGGGGGAGGGGCATGCTGTTGACGGGGAGGGGCATGCTGTTGACGGGGAAGGGATGGAAAAAACAGATCCCATTTGATTCCTGACGGCAGGCCTGTGGCCACTAGGTGGAAGTTTCAACAAGGAGAAGAGTTTCAGTTGAAGGAAGAGCTTTCTAATAGTGGCACCGGCTTCATGGAAGGTAGTGAGCCCTCCATCAGTGGTAGTGTGCAAGCAAAGGCTCATAATGGTATAGACAGGATTCAAACATCAGACAGAAGGCTGGGAATATGACCTCTAAAATTCCTTCCAACCAATAAGTTTAGGTTTCCCCCTTTGTCCCTGGGTAGGGCCCTATGTCCACAGCCTTCGAAATGGAATCTGACACTGGTTGCGGAGCAGCGAAGCAATCTTTGCTGCGAGCCTCAATCTGCGGTAGCAGCCCCTGCCACTTACTAACAGTGTGACTTGGCCACAGCGCTTCAGCGAGTCTCAGAGGCCTCCTGTAGGATAGGGACAGTGATAGGCGGTGGGGAGGCCTGAGCGGGACCCCGCATGTGAGGCCGAGTCCACGGCAGCCACACCGTGAGCGCTCGGTGGGAAGGTCAGGGCGCCCCATCCTCCGGGCCCACAGACCTTGCTTGGTTGCCTGCTGCTTCTGCGTCGCCTCTTCCAGAGCCTTCACCTTGGCATCGTACTCATCCGCGAGTGCTTTCCACTCCTTGCGGTTGTTGGTGATCCCGTCGAAC